ACCCCTCCCTTAACGGTACGAACTTCGTACGAACTTGAAGTGACCAACTTCTTTGAGCAATTTGCAAATGAAAGATGACATCAAGGTGCAAATTAATGACTGAATTCTTAACTCTTGTTGAAGGTTAAGTGAATATATGTTGAAGAAGGAGGGTATCCATGAGGTTGTAGCTCACATATGACTAGAGGACGAGCTTATGTTTGGCTCAGGTAGCAATGCTGCATCAACCTCGTCTTCCTCCACTTCCAGGGAATCAAGATGTCAGGTTGAGAAGAAGCTTGATCGGGGACTTGTTTAAACACCAGGTAGTAGAAATACTATAGTAAATTCCTCCACTTTCGTATTAGAACCCAAGGCCAAAGTGCTTAGGAATTTACTATAGAATATTAGCTGAGTTTAATGATTTGAATTATATTTTTTTTCCTGTCACACCGTATATATTCAGACTTTTGAATTCTCAGTCTACTTTTGGTGCCACCTTATATCTTTCGGTTAGCCCTAGAGGCAAGAGCACAATAAGAACCTCACAAAATTTCTAGTCTGACAATATAAGTATTTGTCTAATAAGATAACATTAGCGGTGAAAATAGTATTCCTTGCCTGTTAATATAATAGTGTGATGATTAGAAATATAGTTTAAACATGACTTTAATTACACAAAGCACATGAAAGTGCACCAAGAGACAACTTCAAGCCAGAAAGTATCAATAAAAAACTTGTACAAATCTGGAGAAATTCATGAAAATCTAAGACCTGGTTTCCAATCAAGATCAAAGACTCCAACCATATATAGGATCTGGCTTCTCCTGGTGGATTGAACATGTTCTGCATAAGCTCGTTTTAAGGTCCTCATTTCATTGGCATCACCCTCTCGCTCTATCGACTTGTCAAATCGGTGACACTTGAGAGATTGACTTATTCCAAAGTATACCTGCATTAGATTTTACAGAATTTTCTTTTTTGTTATGGATTTGTAATTTGGATAATTACCAATTTAACACCAGAATCTATGACATTGTCCCTTTTTATTCCTTAAAATGGGGCGAGGCAACATGGAAAATTTGGAAATTCTTGTATAAAGACATAAGATTCATATATGTTAACCACTTGTGACTTGTGGCTTGCCGTTTTTGCAGTAAGCCATGACTCTTTGACAAAGAGTCTTTGTGCACCTATAGAGGTGCCACACCGATACGTTAAAAGGAATCAGTTGTCTTATTTCTAGGTTACACAAGTCTTTTCAGAGATTATGAAATTTAAATCTCACAACAAATATTTCTATTTGTGACATTTGAGTAATTGTGCTTAATTAGGACAAAAAGATTAGGCTGAGGTTGGGGAGAGTAGAGGAAGCATTCGTTTCTATGGGTACATAAAATTTACAAATAGTGTACCCAGAAAAGATATACTACTGATTAAACACTTCAAAATAATAGAGGATAGAAAAAAATTTCTTCTTAAAACTTCAGTTTTGTTTTTATTTATTTATGAAACACTAGCACACTCTAACCATCCTTCGAGAGATTCAGCTTGGTGTCTCAATTTCTGAATTTTCGAGCTCAAGTATAGCATTGAATCCAAATTCAGTTCCTGGTTTAAACAAGAGTTTGAGTTCTTCTGCTGTTTGAGTAGTGTTGATTTTGTTTTCCTTCACATTCAAGTTTTCCTGAAAATGATGAGAGATTTTAGAAGGTTGCCTGAGTTTTATAAGAAAGACAACGTAGTGAATGGTGACCAGGACTTGCCTTCTTTACATAATCACCCACGGTAGAGCTTATTATTTCTTGTATGACAAACTTTGTGACACGCTCCTTACCAAGTATATCCAAAAGAAAGCTTTTTGGGACCTGAGGGAAGTTTTAGGTTAGCCATCAAAGAACAATGCTAAAGACTAAAGCATACGAACGGGGGGGCCTATGAACTTCAAAATGGTTTCAAAACATAAATTGGCACCCCAGAAATTTTAATTTCACAAGTGTGAACAAATGGATGCACCAATCAAATGAAGGTACTTTCAAATATCCAAGCTCATAAAAGACCTGACAGCGTATCAACTAAAAGACACCTAGCAACTTAAGTTCATTGAACTTTTGTAATTGATCTCGTTATGGAATGCCAGTCGTGTGTGAATAGTATAACATGAAAATGTGGTCATGCTATATTTAAATGTGTAACTTATGAACCAATATCTGAGCCATTACAATGTGGTTACATCAAAATCTGCAAAATTTGTAACAAGAATCTTATTAAATTTGGATTTGATAGAGCTAGTTAAATTATGCAGGGCTCACATCGACTAGTGAAATTCAATAATAAATTCTTATCACAAAAAAATAAATCAGTATTAAGTATAAGAATAAAACCACTCACCTTTGATGTTTTTCCTGGAGTAGTCCCAAAGCACATGAAAAGGAAAATTTATAGTCAAAATTTACGGACTCACAATTCAAAAGTTACTAAGCATTTATAAATCAAAAGGAGAAAGGATAGATGCTATCGGCTTAGAATTCCCACATCCATGCACTCTAATGCAGCATATTCAATAAATGGCTGAGTTAACCTTTGCATATATGGATACACAATCCTAAGCATATCAAAACTGAAAATAAAAGGTCCCTTTTCCGAAACTGAAATGATACAAAATAAACCAAAAAGAAAATTTCTTTTGCCTTCTTTTGACTGCAAGATATAAAAGGTCATCCAAAGTTGACCTCTACCTTATATTTGTGCAGTATATTCCAGACATCAGGTAAGAAGTTTTGTATTAATTCCAACGAAATCAGGGATACATCAATGTACCTCCTTTTTGTCTGCGAAATCCGGGAACTGGTGGTGCTGTGCGTGCCAAGTTTGTCAAAACCTTATCAAAAACTTTTTCTGTGTCATCCCCAGTCAAGTCTACTCTAACCTGGCAATGGAACAAAACAAGCACTTGCAATATAAGGTCCCAAACCCTTAGACACAGAAAACGCAAAAACATATACAACCAAAATCAGGCAATTAAATTGCTGTACACTTTTTCATTAAAATGAGAACAATTTATCTGCAGCCTTTAACTCTAACAAAATGTTCCCAAAGCTTGATTCAATCAAACTATCTGGATACTTTGAACACTATTCGTTTTCCTATACCATCATAAACGTGCCTAGGAATACTTGAATCCTTCATTCACCTGCATGCATAAACTACTATGAATTATCACAAGAATAATCATGTCACTTAAAATGCATGTGTGTTCTAACGGTGTTTCGATTAGATCTTGCATTGCAAGCTCACTTGTATCTTATTATCTTCTTGGGACTCTACGACAATCTTGGCGGATTTCAATGTTATGAGATTGCCTTCTACATCTGCAATAGATGCCTCTAAACCTGCAAAACCAAAATGAAAAATATATAATTCAAATTACAAACATCAGAAAACATGAACAAACAGAAAGAGAGTAAACTGAAAAGGCTTGTAATAATAGTCAATTATCTGAAAACAACCAACCTGAACCAGCTGCATATATCAGCCTGGATAAACGAGCATGACCCCTCTTATGCGGACTACAAAAGAATAATAACCTCAAAAGATTGAAAATGTTGGTTTGACGCAATTTCTTATTATGTTGCCACTGAAACTGTAAACTCTCTCATATATAATGCAATACGCTATGCAAAGCAGATACGTGAAAGGTAAGCGAAAAGTAGAAAAAGAAAAAACTTCTGAGATGTGCAATTTACCTCGTAAACAGCTTGCGTTGTGTGTTGCAGAACCCAGCAATCCTTATAGCGTTTTGACATGTAAGAGCACGACTGCAGTAGCTTCTAGCAGGGAACTGCTGCAGCAAACTAATAAACCATCAAAAACCTTCTCTCTCACATAGTTTGGCCTACAACATGTATGATGAAATGTGTCAAAGGCACGTCTGCTACTACGTACCGCTCTAACTGTCCAATTACTAGAGAAACACTTTACTGAAGAAACACAGAAATTGGGTGAAGTTGAGAGTTTCTTTTCTTACTTTGGGAAGCCCAAGGGACTGGAAATGAGAGAGTACTACTGTTGTCATCGTCGTCGTCAATGACACCACGCTGCTATGCTATTGCTGTTGCTGCTGTTATAGCTTGTAAAAGAGATGCAAGAAAAGTGTGTGTTTTTCCGGATACAGGAATATCTTATCACTCTCAATCAACGCAGCTTTACCTAGCGTTTTAATCCTGGCCGTTAGAAAATCACAAAACACAAAACAACATATAACAAATAAAAAATAAAAAATAAAAAGAAAAGAAGAAGGGTGCTTGTATTTGAACCCAAAAATTACATAAGTGAACCCATCCGAAATTTTTTATCAAGAAAATTCGTAATTTACACTTCAGTCAAATTTAAAATATTTAAAAAAAAAATCACCATACCCTCTACATCTCCACCACCACCAAGGACTCACTAGCCACCACACTAGAAGAACTTGTATGTCACAGGTATAACACTATTTTGCTATTCTCAACTAATCACGTGCCACTATGAGGAACAATTATCATGTATAACAAAATGTAATTAGTTGGAGATAGCAAACCAGTATTATACCCGTAATATACAGGTTTTTTTCCCACCACACGCCTATAATGGTCGCGGACTTTCGTGGCCATTGAAAATAAATAAATATGGCTAGGGACGGTGGGGCGGGTGGGTGTGGTGGGTTTTAGTTTTCCTTCCTTTTTTCTTTAGATGTCTTTTATACAAAAATAAATAAATATTGAAAATCAAGGTAAAATGGGAAGTTGACGGCAAAAATATCCGATAGGGTTTGCCTGAGATCTATTTGGATCCAAATAAAGGCACCCACGGAGGCACTAATTAAATTGTGGCTAATTAATAATAGAAAGTACAAAACAGCCAGTTTTGGAGCGTGGTAGTAACTGAAAACATAATCATATTATGCCGTGTACTAATATATTAAAGAGGATCCGTATAGCACGTTATTGTTCTAACATTGGTAAGAATTACTGCCTCTGAAATTCTACAAAACCAGAAAGGTATATTAAATCGTAAAAGACGGATAGAAGAACTTTTAATATCAGACAAGCTCCAACTGAGAAATAAATATAAAAAAAACAAAAGAAAATCGCTCTCATTTTGGTCGCTCTGTCTGTCTCCCTCTCTTTGTAACTCTTTCGTGAACAGACATTTTTCTCTTCAATTCAGCAGCCTAGAAATGAAAAGAGCTCCCGTCTCTCATTCCTCAGAGAGGGAAGAGCAGAGCAGAGCAGAGCATGCATCCATGCTTGGTCTTTACTTGCTCAAGAGTAAGAACTGCTGCACAACCACAGATTACCTTTCCAGCTACATTCCAGAACCCGGAGATCATTCCCATGCTCCGATGAGTGATCAACTAAAGCCTCAAGTCCTGACAGAGCAATTCCTAGTCAACACGATAAAACTGTTGGCATATCCAATTCTCCCCCCAACTTTGGTACCTTATAATCAAACCAAAATCTTCCAGTACAACATCTCTCAGTGAAACTTACCAGAAACCATTCTTTGCATGGACCATTACTCCACGACTGCACCAACAACTTGCTCAATATCTGTGCTTTCTTATAGAAGATGATATTGTAGTATTAATACTAAGGACAACAAGAACATCAGAAAACAGCAAAAACAACAAAAAACTATAGCCTCCAAACAGTAAGTAACAATGCATAAACACATGAATAAATGATTCAGAATCAAACCAAGAAACTACAAAGGCATATTTATAACTGACTATTCATATTAGAAACAAATTCCTGAGAAAATTAGACAGAACAAGAACAAAGAGTAGCAAAACTTAGAATCCCATTTGCAATCATTCAAATTCATTAACTAAGATAGACAACTGACTCTGTTTTACTCCAAATTGTAATGATAGTTGTAAACCCTCATCTGCTTTCTTTGAACGGTTTTGTTCTGCAAATTCAGACTAGATTTAAACTCTAGCCCTTTTGCTACTGCAACCTGGGCACTTGTACTGCTTGATATGCTCAGCCTTTGCAGGTGTAATCTTTACACATTTTCCATGGAACCATCTCTCACACACATCACAGCAAATCCAGAACTCATCAGCACCATAGTTGTCTCCACATGCCCCGCAAGTCGCACCTTGTTCATCATCTTCTTCTTCTTCTTCCCCGCTTTCCTCCTCTTCTTTGGGCAGCGGAGACATCTTTACTCCTTTGCTTTGGGGGAGCTCAGACTGCCGAGACTGCTTTAAGGCAGCACCAAAAAAAGCAACAGCTAGAATTAACTATAGGGAAAGAAAAAAAGGCTAAAGAAGGAAGACATATAAACAACAAACAAAATCATGCAAACTAATCCACTTACCACCTTTCCACTAGATTTGTTCTTGCTACTGTTGTTGTGAGGAGCAGACTGGTCTTTTGGTTGCTTAGCATTTCCTGTCACAACTTCAAATATAGTGGGGAGATCATTTATCATCTGAAAAAGCCTTTTCCTGCAAGTTCCAAAGCCAAATAAAATTATGACCACCTTGATATGCTAATATACATTAAATTTGAGGGAAATGTTAGCTCCTATCACTTGGCTTTTGTAGCAAGGGTTATGTTTCCATATCCTACAGCATGAATGACTCTACTCTGACATTCGCAATCACATCAACAACAAAGAAATCCACTGGTCCAACATCGTAGAAATTATATACAACCAACAATATAATACTAAACGGAAGAAGTTTTATCAGTCATAAAAGTTTGCATGTTGACCTTAATCAAAATTCTATCCATCCGCATTCAGATCCCACACCATCTATCCAAAATTTGTACACAACTTCTCTATGATAGCCAAAAATGAAATAAATAGGATCCCAGTAGACAGAAGAATATCATCTGTATTTAGTCTTCAATATTGTTATATTAATTATATAAGCCCTTGGTTGCCTGCACATACAGTCATACATACATTATATATACACATACAAATACACGAATGTTGTATACGTTTCTGAATCCAGATATTGCAGTAAAACCATTGTAATTGAACAAGTCAAAATAGCTCATGTTTACTTTACAAACTCGTCCGTTTACTTTTTTATAGCCAAGTAATGAAAAGTCTAAAAAGGTGGGGCTCAGAATAGGTCAAGGCAAATTGAATCCTAGAAACCAATTTTCAATATTTTAAGAATTTAAATCTGTTCTCAACAGAAGAAAATACAACACCTATCATGTACAGATAAGATTCTCAATTCTTCTATCAATGTTATGGCATGTCAGTATTCTTGTCTAATGCAAGTAGCCATTAACATGAGCTACTTAAATATGAGTAAGAGACAGCCTTGTAATTTACCAAAAGGAAAATGATAGAAGCCCTCAGAAATGAAAGGACACTAAGACTTATTCCAAGCGGTTGTTGCAGAGTGACAGAAGGCTTGTTTGAAAATTCAATTTAATCAACTGTAAAATACCTTTTAGCATCCTGAATCTAAAGGGGCAAAAGAGGTAGGCAGCTTTCTACTAGAACATAATGTTGCACCTAATACATACAGCATCAGAAACTTAATTGTGGCTAGGAAAACACTCACATAACCTATCTAGATCATGCAAGAAGTTTATCATGTATGGAGTTCGGGAAAATGGAAACTATGAAGTGGGATATCGATTATCTTAAGCAAAACAGAAATTTTCTTGTCAATCAGTTGTTGAATCCTAGAGAAGGAACCAATTAATGCTCAATCAGGAGCCAATTGAGGATTAAGGTTCAAAGAAGCCACTGCTTGAATTTGAGTCCCCCCCAACACCCCCACCACTTATAGAGTCGCTTTTCAAATGTGTCTTCTTTACCCTGCTAATAGAACCCTGGATACTGTTACTCATTCTATCCTTGACTCATGCAGACGAGTCTGTCAATACCTGTAACATTCGTGATACAGTAGGCCAAGTCCTACATATCACTAAAGTATATGCAGAAATCTCATATTCAGTGATTTTTTCTATGTGTAAAAAAGAGTAATCACAAAACATATAATATGAAAGGGGCCTCCAATTTCAGCTCCATGCAAGAATATCAGTCATTAACGCTACCATACCAAGCATTATTTGATTCTTCAACATGATTAAATGCTAGGATGTAAAGGATATGTTAATTTTTGTACTATATAGCCATAAAGATAGCAAACAAATTTAAAACAAAAAAAGAAACATTTCCATCAGAATTTAGTCTATAAAAAAGGAGGTAGGTTTTAAACTAGGTTTCAGTAAGTAGTAGATGCATTGAATTTGTGAATTGGCTCTAAACAGAACTTCTAAATCTTCCTTACTTTAACCGCCCATGTATGATGCCATATTTGGTTCACATAAATATCTTATTCAAACGTGATATGTAAACCGCTTATCACATCATATGCAAGGTAAATATCAATAATAAGATGCCACTAAATGCATGAACTTATGCACTGAAAAAGGTGCATAGGATTCAGCTGATAATAAGATTGTCAACAGAAAGTGTTGGCTCAATGCTTCATATGGCAGGTAACTCTTTTCTCTACTGCATTTGAAAATTCTATCATTAAAAGTTGCAGATATGGAGATTTTTTTAATAAAAAAAACCTTGCAATAATTTGGGTTCTAACAACTGTATTAAAGTAGGAGCACAGTTCTGAAAGAAATAAAACTCAATATACCAAATCATGCTTTTCCTCCTTGTAATAGGGTAACCTCTGTTAAATCTCAACATGTTTGCATAAGAATAGCTAAGGATGAATAATAGATTCGATATTTGGTGCAACTGAGAATTTTGCATATGATAAAGAAAGTATCAGGCTACGATAAGATTAACACCAAGAGTACGCCAACATTAAAATTCATCAAGATAGCTTGTGCATTTCCCCATTGATAATAAAAGATACATGCAGAAGAAAAACTATTTCGTACCTTTCATTCTTACCAAACCCAAATCGTGCACCAAAGTAAAATGCAACTGCAAGCAACCATGAATCGCTATGAACTGCAACCAGTGATAGCCAGTCCTTCTCCTGCATCCCATCCCTAGCAAAGTTTATGCCTAATGCTGGCTCGGGAAGCTCAGGAGGCACCTCCTCAACAGGCAGGTTAACTTCCCATGCCTCATTTGGCAGTCCATACAGACACAGATTCTCCTTCTCTACAAGCAGAACATTTGTGTTAAGAAAAAGCAAACAAAATGAAAAAAATACACTATCATAACCACATAAGATATTGAAATTACGCCAAAGTAGCACTTAAGATGCTTAAGCACATTGTACGGCGACTAAACATCCATCAAGTACTATTCTGGTCATGTGTTCAACAATAAATTAAATGAGGCATATAAATATCATTTTCATGCATACTTAAAGAAATAAGACCAAACTTGATACATCAAAACTTAGATATTCATTTTTTAGATATTTTATTACTCCAAACACATAAGGTGAGAATATTAAAATTGTAATTTGCACCAAAATAAATGGAAAGAATTTGTTCTTGCTCAACTGCCACTAAGAAAGTAATAAACAGAAAGATCCGCTGAAAGACTAAATGTTTACAATAATGTAATCATCAAGAAGAAAAGAACAAACCATCGGAAATGACAGCCCCACCTCCAAGGTGGCAAATTCACCTCCAATAATCTAATTGATTGTAATGAGTCTATTGAACATGCACTTACCGCCCAGATTGTGCATCAACTTGGAAAATGTGGTAAATTCAAATCCATTTAACTAGAAACCAATTAAAAGAAAAATATATGTAAAAACTTCACCCACTTCTGGACTTTAATTTTATACAGCACTTGCAAAACCTTAGGACAGAAGTCAAACAACCTAAATCAGTCAGGAAGTTATAAAATTTGACTTCAGGACCCTTGCTCCACAACAGTAGGCCAGTGTACCGGGTGTGGGAGGCCATGAAATTCAATGTGCAAAACCCTTAATTTTGGAAAGTATTTTTACTTCTTCGTATAAAGACTGGTGCCTCTATATATCAAGATGGGGAATCTAGTAAAACTGAAGCAAGTGAGGATGTTTTGTGTTCCAAGTGCTACAATAGCAGTTAGTTTTATTGTATACAACCAAAAAAGAAAACTTACAGCTAAAGAGATTGGGTATTTTATTCATACTCATGGCACCGCAAATTCACATTACAAATCAAGCTCCAGCATTTAGAAATTAAAATGAACAAACACATACATGAAAAAAAAACACAAAAAATGGCCCTTACTGCAACAACAAGAAGCATAAACATAAGAAAAGATAAGAGAACCCACCAGGATCGCACTCTTGATAAAACTTCTGAACGTCTGCAGAAAATTTATAAATAAAAAAATTAAGTAAAAGCATTACAGGAAATTCAAAGAGACCCAAATATGCATACATAGATAAGTAAAAGAAATAAGATTAAGAGGTTAAAAGAAAAAAAAGCGAGCGAACCACTGGTGAGGGCCTTAATCAAGCCGGCGCGTCTGCCTCTGAAGTCGCTGAAGACTTCCTCCACTGTTCGAGGTACTGGGTGCGGATTGCCCTCCATTATGCTCTCTGTCTGTGTTTGAATTTTAATATCAATCCCAGCTGCTACCTATTGGAGAATAGAGGTACGAAAGGGAAACTCAGAGGGACATAGTGCCGGAATTGAATTGGATGTTCTTCTTCTGAATGGGAAATTAGGGTTTGTTGATTTGGTGAATTGGGGATTCTAATTGTTTGTTGTTGTTGATAAATAAATTTAAATTTTTAGACAGACAGAAAGGTGTTGTAAGTATAAGTTATAAGAAGACTGAATCGGAGAGAAAAATATAAATATTTATATTTATATTTATATGAGAGAGCAGGGAATGCAGGATAGGATGGGAGGATTTAAAGGAAGGGCTGAGATATCACAACTCGCTAGCTCCGGGAAATATACAAAAAAGGGTTTCACTTGGAAATTCACATATTCCCACTTTCTCTCTCCTCTACCTATTGGCTATTTGGCTCAGCTCTTTTTTCTCTTTCTTTTCTCTTTTTGTTATATGCCGAACAAAAATATTAAACATTTTCCTTGTTTTTTTTTGTTTTCACAAAAACATGTGTAATTTAGAAGTTCTTTGAGGATAAAATGCAAACAATAACAATTTCTTAATTGAAATACGATCATTTAACCATGTGACACTTGTCATATGGCTATGCATCCACTGAAATTAGGACAAGCGTATGCTAAAAAAAACTCTCATAAGTTAACGTATTATCGTCTACCAAGCCCAACTAAATTAATTAGTATATGGAAATTATGCAAGCATGGATAGAGTTTTGTACTAATACTTCACCCAGGAGACACACAGTGAAACTCTCATAAGTTACGCAATGCATTAATATAGATTAATAAGAAATCAAGAATTAGAGGTTTTTCCTAAGTGGTTAGTTACTCAAACTTTTAACCAATTAGGTTTATGTTTGATTTGTGGTCCTGGAAAGTGAGTTGTTTTCTTGGACTTGATTTTCAGTTAGATATAATAGATAGAGCTCAAACCCACGAGTTCGAATCCGAACTGAAATTAAATTCTTACAAACATTTCAAGTGCAGGGGCATTTTGGTAATTTTAAAAATTAAAAATTTTCCTCCAAACCAGCCAACCTAATGGTTAAACCATTTATCTGTGGATCCGGAAATCATTTCCTATGTCATTTTCTAAGAAATGGAAAATGGAATATTCATTTTCCATGTTTGGTAATGTTGGGAAAGTAACATGGAAATACCACTATATTTTCTTTCCCATATTTGGTTTGTGTAAGAATGTAAAACAAAGTTTGTTATAAAATCAAATGATAAAATAATGTATTTAATGTTATATTGTAATTTTAAATTGTTAATGTGGACAAAATGGTTATGAAAAGTGTGAATTTAATGATGGCCTGTTTTCCCAAACTTTCCCAAGGGGGAAGGAGGGTTACATTTTCCCCTTATGTTCCCATGTGCCAGGCAACTATTTCCCATACATGGACTTACCAAACATGAGAAAACAATTGATTTCTCATCCCCAAGCCTCATTTCCTATGAACCAAACGCAACCTTAAGTCGTGCGAATCGACCTATTAGTATCCAACGATTCTGATCGCAATGGTGTGTGTAGCTAGTCGCCACCATCTAGAAGCTCTCCTTGAGCCCATCAAACTGTGCCACCCCACCCTCAATTCTCTTCTACCATTAGAGCACGAGTGATCTTCCATCCTAAATTAAACTTCAATTAACAACAAACAACTTAATTAACACCTCAGATCATGTAATTGAAGCTGAGTCAAAAATTCTAAATTGAAGGAATTTCGAAACTTAACCAACAATCCTCAATTTTTACCTTAGATTGTTGGGCTCGATTCATTGAGCTTTTGAAAATTGTTTTGTCAATCCAAGAAGGAAGAAGATGAACCTACCACTTATGGGTTTTTATCCCATGGTTTTCCATTTTTTATCCTTTTTGAAGCGCTGCACAATCACAACGCCTCATGCGTCAATTTTTAAGTGGAATAACTCCAAAGATTCATTAAAAATACATCCAAACTCCGAAAAATTCACTAAAAAATGCCATGAACTCATAACTATACATGCACTTTCATCTCATGACATCCAAGTAACCATTCAAGAAATTATAAGTATTTTCTTGTATACTTCTAATTACAACAAATCTTATTAATTCAAATGAATTCCCAAGAATTCCATAAAGTTTTGAAAATTTATAAAATACATTCTAAGCACCATAAAATTTTATGGTTCTCATAGTTGATTAATTACAAGTGGATATTCACCATATTGATGGTATTGTGGACAGATGAAAGCTCAAATTGTGGGTATGTTGGATATATGTCATAAAAACCAATCAAGAGATTAAATCTTTTAAGGATATTTCAGTTACTACCTATCGAAGTTAAATCATATGAGCAATAGTGTCGTTTCAGATAAAAGTTTCATTAATATTTAAGTTATTTGAACGACAAGTCCATGGGCTATTAGACGAGGAAAGTGATCTAAAGAAGTTAGATCCAAGGGACCCTTCCTCTCAAGCTTATACCCTAAACGGTTCCTAGTCAGAGGATCGTACAACTGGGTTGATGATCTGTAAAGACCAGCATACACTATATCCGCTCAATTGGGAGGATGGCTGGTCTCAAGTCATTTGTGTAGGGACACTAAAATAAGTGTATGAGTGCTCATTAGAGAATGAGTACATTTTCCCCTCCTTTAACATTTGAGAAATGTAGATTCTTGAGCATATCAGCACTTTGAATCAAAAGATCCATGGAAGAGATTTAGGTTAAATCTCTAAAATCAACCATTTGCTTCTGTTACTTCTCTTGAAAAGTTTTATGTTTAAGTGGCTTAACCAACCTAAGAAAATCTAGAACATCCTTCAGGGTAAAGGGTACACACAAACGTATGGTGTAGATTGTCAAAAAACCTTGGCTCTTGCAAAGATCAATACAATTCTTGTTCTTGTCTCATTAGCTACTAACAATGTTTGACCTTTGTTGCAATTTTGCGTAAAGATGCATTCTTGCATGGTGATTTTAAAGAAGTAATATATATGGATTTTCCTCAAGGTCTCATGACAACTTCAAAAAAATGAATGGTATGCAAGTTGAAGAAGTCATTATAAGCGCTAAACAATTGCCAACGACATGGTTTGCCAGATTCACTTTGTTTATGAAGAACTTTGAATACAAACAAAGTAATTACGATTACACCTTATTTTTTAAGTGGAAAAAAATGATTAAAAAATTGGTTTGATCGTTTATGTTGATAATATAGTTGCTACTGACAATAATGAGGATGAAATTTAAAATTTGCAAATGTATATGAAAACTGAATTTGAGATAAAAGAGTTGGGAGATTTCAATTACTTTCTTAGGATAATAGAAGTTGCTGGATCAAAATCTAACATCTTCCAATCTTAGAGAAAAAAAATGTAATGAATTTTTTTGACTAAAATTAGTATGCTCCAAACATCATCACCTAGATGTGAAGAGCTATATCAATGTAGATTGGGTTGGCTCTATCATTGCATTCTAACTTTCTGTATTTTATTTTTGTTGGTGGTAATCTTGTGACTTGGAGAAGTAAGAAACAAAAGATATTGCAAGATCTTGTGTTGAGGTTGAGTATAGATGCATGTTTGCGATTATTTTGGCATATAAACTTTTTGGCAAACTTAAAGTAACCTAAGAGAGTTATAAGACTGCATTGTGATAATAAGGTTGCTATATATTGACATAGCATAGAATCATGTGCAACATGATTACACTAAATGTGTTGAAATTGACCGATATTTCATTAAAGAGAAATTTGAGGCTGAAATAATTGATTTTCCATTTGTGAAGATTGAAGACCAATTATGATATTCTTATGAAGACAATCTACAATTGAGTTCTTCAAGTCACTTGACCAGTTGGGTATTGGAGATATCTATACACCAACTTGTGGGAGAATGTTGGTATGAATTGTGCATATTAATTAGGAGATTTTTTTCATATTTTAAATAGCTGACGTATTCTTATGTAATTGATACTTTAATTACCCCTTATTGTACACACACCACAATATAATGTTATATACATTTATCTCCCACAAATAGAAAAAGATATTAATATTTTGAAATATCTTTGCTTTACATTGGAGTGTATATAGAGTTGTGCATAAACGCAAAACTCGAAACTCCTAAATCCTATATACCACAGTCAGGGACAGCCCTGGGCCTGGGCCCCGAGGGCGATGGTCTCGGGCCCTTGAACAAGGGGCCCCAAACTTTTTAAATACTTGTAAAAGGAATATGTTGAGGCCCATTATAAATATAAAGTTTTGGGGAGTTCAAAATAAGGCCCAAATAAAAACCACTCAAAATCTTTGACAAAACAAAGCCCTGTATTTAAAAATTATTAATTGACTTTGGAACCAGAAATATGCAATTAATCAAACACTTCCATCAAGAAAATGTTTAATTCTTCTAGTTTTGTGATTTGTTTGTTATTTTAATTCAATTAAACTACTAAGCTAAAAAAATTATATGCATACATGCAAAGAGAAATTAAGGGTCTCATTATAATTTATGAGCCGAGGTGACTTAAAAATCAGGACCAGCCCTGATCACCTTTTGGGGCTAAAGATTCTCTTGTGCTAGGTTGTATATAGGCTTTTAGCTAACAGGATAGAATTTCTGGAATGTCAACAACATGCATGCGGTTGCTATATATCTTTTTAGGCCAAGCAACGGATATAAATTAGTCTCACCATCTATTAATTAAGGAATAAATAAAAGAGAGAGGGCAATAATAGCTATAAATTAGTCTCACCATATATATATATATATTCTAGAAGAAGCATTTGTGCCAAAGTGATACATAGCTCTAGTCTAAAAGTCTGGCGTGCGAATTGCAATTTGCAATGCCATCATATGATATGCATCATATGGAATGGACCTCTCTACCTAGATTCTCTTCTCTCTCTCTCTCTCTCTCTCTCTCTATATATATATATATATATATGAATCAAGAAAGAAACAAGTAGAGCAGCTCCTCCTAATAGCCTATAGGGATAGGTAAATATCATATCCACACGAAATTAACCAAAGTAGCTCGCCACCATGACAGTGACGACGCACGCACAGCTGCTCGCCTGCGGGTCTCGTTGACTTGTCAGTAATACGTATTTTAGGTTATAATAATAATAATAACTCCAACCTACCAATTCATTTCACACGCAGTTTTGTTAACTTATTATTATATATATCCCCACCCCAAAACACAAAGAACGACTTGACCTGGAGCTAGACCGGATCCGAATGAGAATATATAATATCTGCTATTATTATCTGCTCTCTCTGCTCTCCCTGTGAATGCGTGTCTGTTTTGTACTCTCTCAATTAATCCAACTCCTTTCTATTTTATAATATATCACATGAAGAACAATACAAGACTTATGTATTCCAATTTGCGCATGTGTAGAGACTGGGGTGCAACGACCTCCTTTACAAGTTACATCTGCAACACTTTCTCAGTTATGAGCCATGACATCCTCACTACTCTTGTGGCCCATCTATTGTGTTAATGCGTGGAGGGGGCGGTTTCCCCTATTCCTTTTATTTTCTTTATTTTCTTTGATTTTAAATTTTCAAACCTCTACCCACATAGGTAGAGGTAGAAGAGCTCAACCAACTAAGCTATACCTCATTAGCGAAACTTTTAGATTGTTTATTTTACAACTCTCGTGTTGTATTAGACACTAATTCAATTAGGTACATTATTTTGAATATACACAAGTAGATATGTTATTGGTCATATTATTTGTAGGTAAATTGCACGTCCCCTAATGGGATGAAAATCGAAATAATGCCCCTATAATTTAATCATTAACAACACATAATGAACCTTTTGAGCTTAAAAATAATTTATGCTGAGGATACTTTGAGAACACCAGAAGTGGATATAGCGAAACCTATAATCATCACTTCTAATAACATCTACTTCATTGACACTTCTTAGTTAGTTTGAAATCCTGAAAAAACAAACAAGGGGATACAAGAGTCACCCCATATATATGACTTTGAAACCCTAATTAAGCACCTCCACTCATGCAGGCACTCGTTCATTCAAACACAGTGAGGGTTATATCGATCACATGTTAACAAAAGGTAGTATAGGAATTAATTAATTAAATTAATATCCCATTAAACCAAAACCCTGCCAAAGCAACATATGATATACATGAGTCATCACATATATTAAAGGAAAAAGTATGCATACGCTAGCTAGAACATTAAGGAATTAAAGTACTGGATTATTAACGACAAACCAGCTAGCTAGACAAATCATTTATTAGAGTTTAGAAGTAGCGAGCATATATAACTAATTAATTAAGTAGTGCATTGGTGGAATTAATAGCTATATTTATCTATATATGTAATTAATTGATTGATTACTTGAATGGATTGTTGTAGTCCGGCCGGTTTGTCTCTGAGATTGGATTCCAGTCCCATAGGCGGTCAGAGAAAGCGGTTGGAAGTGCGTTGGAGGCCAGCTGCTGCGGCGGCGGTATAGCTGATTGTACATGTGGTGCTGCTGCAGGGAAAGTGGAGAAAATGCTGTTGGGTTGGGGATTATGATGAGCATCATCATAGTATTGTACCACATGATGATGTACATGTTGTTGTTGGTGATGACTGGAAGATGCAGCAGCCTGCTGCTGTACATGTTGGTAGGTCAAAAGTCTATGAAGATCATCAATTGCATTCATGTTGGAGGACGAAACAGAAGAAGAACCCGCGGTGAAGAGCATTGCAGATGAATTAGTACTACTGGGGATCAGTGAAAAGCAATTAGCCGCTGCTTGCTTTGAGTTTGAGTGGTGCAAGAAGGCCGCCATCCCTTCTTCCTGATCAAGTGGATGATGATGAGCTTGTCCAATGTTGTTGTGGTGGTGGTAGGCGTTATGCTTGGAAAGCCCAAGGACTGTTGTGACATCTGAATTTCCGCTGCTTCCTTCAGGCTCGACGCTCATCTTTTGATCCACCTGATGCTCATGATCTTGATGAAATTGCTGTGCTTGGCCTTCATTAAAAGCTTGGAGTTTCTCCATGATACTATGAACTGTGTTAATATTACTGTTATTAATATTAGTACTAGTATTGTGCTGCTTTTTGTTGTCTGATGATATGGTCGTGGATGGAGCCACAAGTACTGATGATCTCGATGTGGATGCTCTGGAAGCCGGGAGGGAACGAGGGAGCGATGGGTGGTCTTCAACTCCAGCTCTCTTGTACACTCGACATAGAGATATTTCTCCCTGAAAAGTAAATTCAAGCTAAATTAACCATCCATCAATCCACTCAAATAAGAAAGGAAAATTGAAATTATCTGTGTCATCCATCCATTCTGCATATTCTCTTAATTCATTTCCTTTCTAGTTACCAGCTACGGGTTCATGTACTTTGCTGTATATGAATTTCAGTAGCAAATTAAGATCGACTGATTAAGCCCTATAAAAATTATACAACAAACCCGGAAACTCATGATCAATTTTTCAATCTTGTCCCTGGAATTTTTTATTTATCTTTATTCATTAATTTTTGACAAAATTCCTGCCAAATTATTCGCTCCGAATGAAAGAGAATCGATCGGGATCCAATTCAAGACTAATATTTGGAAATTGTGAGCTAGCTAAGCTAGGTTTAGCAAACTGAAAGTTATTTTTCTTTCTTGGTCCGAAGCAAACTGAAAGTATATGGGCTGTACTTGTCTTATATGTATGTGTGTAAAGTTGAAGATTGTGAATGGGTATAACGTGATTCAATCATCAATGGTAATTGCGACCTAATTAAACTTGATATTTTTTGTTTAAATATACATATATACATATGTACCTTTTGATATCGTTCGGTTTCATGATGCGGCAAGCGATACTCGTTCATGATCCAGCTAGTTCGGATGCCTTTGGGAGCTTTCCCAGAGTAAAAGACTAGGGTTTTCTTGAGCCCAATTGAGCGTAAGTTCTCGCTTCTGATCATGCGGTCGGCTCCGGTGGCCTTCCAGTACCCAGAAGTAGTCACCCGGTTAGGCCTATCCCCGTTGCGGTACTTGCGGTCTCTTGGCACATAAAAGAACCATTCCTTTTCTCCAATTGCTGCCATGGCTGCACGCACGCAATCAAACACAGCGATAAATATCCGAGGATTAGATTGAATTGGATTGAATAATTCACATGTGATTAATTTAGATAGGGAGAAAGAATTTTGATTACATATGTATTGCGTGTGTGTATATATATACAGTTAGTTAGTACCTGGAAGCTCCCAAGGGTCGTAGCGATAAAGATCAAGAAAAGTAATGAGCTCAACGTTGAAGCGCTTGCCCTCAACCTTACGGCGAAGGTAGAACTCTACAAGTTCTTCCTCAGTAGGGTGGAAGCGAAAGCCCGGCATCACCATGTCGTGCTCATGCTCATCATCATCATCATCACCATCTTTATGATCATCATGATCATGATCGACCTTGTTGGATTCGTCGTTAACGCTCATAGTTGATGATGATGAGGTTGTTGTTGCTGCAATTGCCATAAACTGATTAAAACTAACTCTAACTCTAATTAAAGCTCATGAAGCACCACTATACTCACTCTCCTTTCCTATATAGCTAGCTAGCTAGCTTGGGCGTCCCGCTGCCCTCTTTATACCAAAAAATCGCTGATAAAAGAGTTATTTTGTAGCAATTAACTGCTATGCAACTGCAAGTGGTAGGCAAGATAAGAGATGGTTAATATGTCGTACCATGCCCTTAAAAAGTTTCTCTCTCTTCGCCCCTCTCTCTCTCTCTCTATCTTATTAATTTACAGGGGGAAGAACAAGAAGAAAAATTAAAGAAGAGAGAGAGAAGGAAATTGAAAGAAAAATGGAGAGCTTTAGTAAATAGAAAGATCTACATAGCTTTCAGGCCCTACATAGAAGGGGTATGCGCTAAGGTGTTTAAGATGAGAAAGTGACATTTCAAAAAACGGGACAGGGTGGCCACAGCCCCTTAGCGGTGCCCCTGGACCTTTCTTTCATCATTATAATTTAAAAAAATTATAATTCTTTTTGTTTTTGTTTTTTAAATTTTTCACTGCCTATTCTATTGTTTTTTTTCTAGAAAATTAGATATACATAATGTGGCAGATGATATATGTTAAATATTAATTAACTGACATAACTATCAACTAATGCTACTGTTACCAAATGTTATCCCTTCTGAAAAACAAGTTGTCTAACCTAATTCCAACAACAACAAAAGAGAGAATAATGTAGAAAACCTAATTTCAGCATGCTATGTAAAATCTGGGAAACAAAACTTGGTTGTAAGTATTTTCAAGTATAAATTATGCAGGTGTCCCATTTTTTGTACTACTTGTATGGTTTTTTTTTTTTTTTGAATGCACATGGCATGCATGTTCATATGAATTTTACACACATTGTTCTTTTGTTAATACAATAATGTAGTAGGTATCACGTGCCATGTAAGTTAGGGTAAAAGGAAAAATGGCCGCCATTTACACTCAATTTCGAGTACCTCTTCTATTTAGATTAGATTAATTTAGAATTGTTTAGACAATTGTTTGTATACAAAGAAATTATGTGTCACATGAATAAATAGAATAAGTCTATGAATTTTATTTATATAATTACTCTTCTTTCACTAATGTTGTAAACATCTTTTTAATGCGGAAAGGGTTTGAATATTTTTCTATATTTGAAAGAGAAATACCTTATCCAACATTGTGCAAAATATCTCCATACCTCCTTTTAAACATTTGGTACGTAATTGTTACAAGTTTGATGATAACTTTGTCGTTTGGTTGTGGCTTACGCTTTCTAACCGATAGTGCTTTTGTAGGCTACCTAGCTGTCTTGAGGGTCGTTGGTTGATTAGTTGGATTACATTTTGATTTTGTTTATCTTATATTTTACATCAGAAAAATGCTTTTTTAGAATTAAATTTCGAACAAAAATATCTTTCTGAATAAAAAAGATGAACATATAAAATTGAATCTTTCTGAAAATGAAATTACGACGTACGGTAGGAGCAAAAACAAAACAAAATCAATATAATAAAGTAATTTCGCAGTATGCATAATGCATAATGCATAGGTGGGGTTGGGATATATATATATATATATATATAAAATTTTAATTATATGCAATGCATATAATTGATGGTATCCTGAGTGTATATGTGAGTCAAGAGAAACCCGTGACCAATCTCTTTTCCTGATGTCTGATAATGACATAAAGTACGGTTTTCCTCTTCTTTTGGTTTTATTATACATATTATTCATGTCTTTATATTATTTTTTTATACAATTTAATAATAAGAGTATCATCAAAATATTTTACCAAATGTCTCTTTATACATGTGAATTTATTTTATTTAGTTATTATAAATAAATGAGGTTCAAATCAACCAAATTTAGTAAATAAGACCACATTATTTCATGAATAACATTTAGTGAATTAATTTGATACACGAAGTTAGTGAATTTATATTTTTACTAACCTTTTGTTTATCATGACCAATTAATGTCTAAATTAGAATTATTTTTGGTAAATACCACGAGGTGTCCCCACACTCGAAGGGTGGGATTAATCCCCGCTCGGGGTTCGGCTTGCCCCTAGCCACAAAGTGCTTCCAACGGATTTCGAACCCCTGCCATTGAGGCACTAGGTAGCTTGCCAACTGTTAAGATTAAGCACCATATAATCTTGTTGAGAGCATGGGTGGATTCAAAGAGGAAAGATATGAGGCTATTGCCCCCACTCAATAAGTTGTGCCCTTTTTTTATTATTTTATAAAAGCGATATTCTACTTTAAACTAATTGAAATTATGCGGAGGAGGATTCAAACTTGAGTGCATATATACTGGGGAGCACATCTATTCTATCCAACTTGGTTCAGCCTCTACATACAAAGATCTACAATAGTTACGGGGCAATGAATAAAGTTAACCACCAAAAAAAAAAACTGAAGGGCAAAGGGTTTGTTAAAAGGCCTCAAAGAGGCTACCCAAGCATGCCTCATTTTAGGTCATCTTCTTTTACAAAAATATTTGGGTTGGGAGCTTCACTTCTTTAGTCTTAATTCGGGAAAGAAATATTTTTGAATTAGTCACCGGTTGAGAAGTTTGAATTCACTGGAATCACCACTTGCATGATCATGACTGGTCATGATCCAATCCAATCATGTCATCATCATCACCATCATAATCATTATCTCTCTCCCTCCAATGGATCAACCAGTTGTTTACAATTAAAGTTTCGTAAATAAAACTTTTTTTGGATTTTGTTTTTTTGCTTTGCTATGCAAAAGCCAAACCGTGTCGTATTAGAGGACTAAAATACATCAAAATGGGTCCGGAGGAATCCAAGAAAAAAGAAGGGCGCTAAAGCTAAGGTTACTCTGGATATATCTTAGTAGTGATCGATCATATATATACAAGAAAGTAGAGAGCACAAGTTTAAACGCGTGAAGAAGCGAGAAAATAAATTCCAGTGAATTCTTGTAATTATTATCTGGAACCATGCATTTTGCATAGAAATCACTTGCTTTATTTTGTCCTTTTCTGTCCAAGTCTCAAATAGGTTGAAAGAAAATAATGATGCCTGCCTTCGAGAAAGATCACTCACTTGACTCTTTCACCGTGGGAATACGCATAAATATATATATATATATATTTGAGACGCCAAAAAGAGAGAATTTTCAACGATCTTGACAACCTTCAACTTTTTATAATTAAGTTATATTATTTATCAAAGAAATAGAGACTTGGGAGAGTTTCAGTTGAGAGATTATTTAAATAAGGACATCCTTATGGGACCCATTCATATTATATTTTCATAATTCAAAACCGTGTATCTTTTAGGAAAGTGAAACCTAGCTAAATAACTAGATTCAGCAAACTGCACAGTGGTATATATAAGTCCTAACTAGAATCCATAGCTAAAAAGATTTGGTGGATTTAATTAGCTATGAAATTGCAGGTAGGTGATGTGATTAACAAAAATGATGAAAGTTAGGCTTATAATTTTCACCCACTTCCAATATCATATGCATCAGCAAGCCGATCAACATTGACTTTATGTATGAAAATATTATTTCTTAATGCCAAGAAATTAAGAAATTAAGAAATATGAATATGGGTGTCATTTTCAGTGTGAACCGACCACTCAGATACAGATAAAATCTTACATTCTGTTATATGTATGAAAACTTGTCCTTATTCTGGAAAGTTGTAGCGCTGGCTGCCCACTAGTTTATAGTTTCTTCCGGATCCACAACATTTTCTCAACTTTTCGTTTCGTTTCGTTTGTTCTAATCAGCTTTTTTGGGTTCCTTTTGACGTTTTAGATATTTCACACAGAAATCTGATATTGACTCTCTCTGCATCTGTACATGATCATTAATCATGGACGGAAACCACCAAGTCATCTCATCGCTCACAAAGTTTATCGTCAATGCCAACTGGTATATTAATTTTATATGATATTATTACTTTTGGATTTATATATGCGTGTCAAAACTCAAAAGAGAAGATAACAAACGAGAAAAATCGAAAACCAGGAGGATCACAAATATATATATAAATATTACGCAGTGGTGCGCTCGATCGTGAAGTCAACTTACTAGCTCTTGCACTGTACCAGATTAGGGCTGCAAACTGGTTTTGTGTTTCCCCAACCCACTCTCTAATTTCTAATTATAACATTGTGCATGTCTCCTAACTAGGAATGGTTAATTACAGGGTCTCGCAGAGATTTAGTGATCAAACATGGCGGATCAATACAAAAATTAAGAATGGCTAAATAATATTCATAGAGCTTCAATTAAGGAATTATTCAAAGAGCTTCAATGGTCACTGAACTTGTATATACTCGAGCTTCAATTTGGTCCTACAACTCGCTCATTCGTGCAAATTCAGTCATTTTGTCACATTCCATCAATTTGAAGGATAAAATCGTCAATTAACGAACAAGTATCTTGCAAAACGACCTACCCAGTTCTCTACTACCCATTTCCCCCAAATTGAAACCCTAATATTAATTCACCTATCTATCTCATTTCCCTCAAATTGAAACTCCACAAATTCAAACCCTAGCCCATCAATAGAACCCCATTATTTGATGTTATGAGTGGTTTAATTTCTACTTATGAACATTTTAATTTACAAGATTCCAACGGGATTTTTAATTTATTAATTAATGAATAGGGATCAACTACATATATAAAACCCCCAACTTTTGGGATCATTTGATATTGATACTATCAAACTTTGAAGACCCTACAAATTCATGCTCAAAATTGGTTAATGTAGAGCTTCTTGGGCAAGTAGAATTGAAAATACGTTTCTTGTTATGGAGTCAAATTTTGGCATTCAATTTAGGTAGGTAACTGCAAGTAATCTATGTACATATATATAATTGTGGAAATTGGATATCGAATTGCATGGGTGTCATCACCATGATCGTCATCTGCTAGAAATATCTAAAAAATATATAGATTAGTATAGATGATGAAGACTCAAAAATAGACTAAGAGAGGATATAGCTAGATTAGAGTGTCATATTAAAAGAGAAAATGAATCTCTCTCATAATATATAATCTCATCTTCACATATGCCTAGCTAGCAGATAGCTGATGCTCTTATGGGCCCACCTATATAGCAAGATGTATATTGATGGACCCATTTGGGTTCATTCTTGAGGGTACATTATTAATTTTCCACACCACAGGCATCTCGTGGCTTGGACCAGTTTGGCGGTTGTCAACCCGCTTCTTTGGATGGGCATGCATGATCAATATTGGGAGAGAGAGAGAGAGAGAGA